CCTTGGGGACAAGGTCATGAGGTGGCATTGGGGGCCTCCACTATGGGGGTTCTTGGGCACCATCTTGTTGGAGGTGACCTTGGGGACAAGGTCATGAGGTGGCATTGGAGGTGGTTTCCACCATGAGGGTTCTTGGGTGTCACCTTCTGGAGGTGACCTTGGGGACAAGGTCATGAGCTGGCCTCCACCATGGGGGTTCTTGGGCATCACCTTGGGGACAAGGTCATGAGGTGGCCTAGACCATGGGCATTCTTGGGCGCCATCTTGTTGGGTGGGCTCAGGGGACACCCCGAGATGCCGTCCCCCAAGAGCTGCTTTATTCCTCTGAGGGCTTTCCCTGCCCCACACGGGGAGGTCGCCCGTGGCCGCCGGTGGCCTGGCACAGGGTGCTGTCCCCCCACCCCCACTCCGGGGTCCTTCAGGCCTCCTTCTGGGGGGTCTTCTCCTGGGGCTGGAGGGGGATCTTCTCTTTGGGGTCACCCATCTTCTTCCGCTTGGCCCTGGGGGGGGAGGAAGAGGAGGAGGAGGAGGGGCTGTGGGCAGGGCAGGATGGAGCGGGCAGGCCCAGCTTGCACCATGTCCATCCGTCCGTCCATCTGTCCGCCTGCCTGGCTGTTGGCCAAGGCACCCGTCCATGTGGTCTTCAACTCATCCCCTGCCCAACCAGGCCAGCCCCAGCACTTCAGTCCATCCATCATCCAACCATCGTCCAACCATCACCCAACTGTTGCCCAACCATCATCCATCCAACCATCGTCCAATCATCATCCACTCAACCATCGCCCACCCATCATCCAACCATCGCCCACCCATCCAACCATCATCCATTCAACCATCATCCAACCATCATCCATCCATCATCCAACCCACCCCCCCCCCCCCCACCCATCACCCATCCATCCAACCACCATCCAATCATCATCCATCTATCATCCATCCATCCATCCAACCATCATCCATCCATCCAACCATCATCCATCCATCCATCCAACCATCATCCATCCATCCAACCATCATCCATCCGTCCATCCAACCATCATCCATCCATCCATCCAACCATCATCCATCCATCCAACCATCATCCATCCATCCATCCAACCATCATCCATCCATCCAACCATCATCCATCCGTCCATCCAACCATCATCCAACCATCATCCATCTATCATCCATCCATCCATCCATCCATCATCCATCCATTCAACCATCATCCAACCAACCATCATCTATCTATCATCCATCCATCCATTCA